TCTGTACTTTTTGATTAAGTTTGCTGTGAACCTAAAATGGCTCTAAAAAAAAAAAGGCTGTTTTTTAAAATAGGAAATAAAAGACATACACATATAACTGGATGGACAAATGAATAAAATACAGAGCGAATCCTATTCTGGACATGTTGATACTAATTAAAAAGATGTAGACCCTTCCCAGTCCAGCTGTGATCTGGGACCACCAGGATCAGCACTGTCTAGGATCTTTTTTTAGAAATCCAGAGTCTCAGGCCCCACCACAGAACTGCTGGATCAGAACCTGCATTCTAACAAGAACTCTGGAGTGATTTACATTCATATGTAAGCTGCGTTGAGGTACAATGTATAGTCCTTGCCTTCAAGTTGCTTTCAGCCTATTAAACACTTGGGGGGTGGGGTGGGGTGGGGATGTCTCTGGAATAGTTTGAAATAGAAAGAAAAGCAGCAATGTGGTTAACAGTAATGAACTTCACCCTTTTGGTTTCACTTCTCAGTTCCTTTATCCACAAGTTTCCCCCACCTGAGTTGTCATGATCCCTTCTCCATGTGCATAGGTTTTGCTAAATATTAGTCAATATCACTGGGAACCTCCCATATACCAGGCACAGTGTGAGACACAAAGCGAGGACACTTCTCGGAAGACGCATGCAGAAAAGATAATAGGAAAACACGACTTTATCTGTCTCCTCTATTAGATTAAATATGATACTTGGAGCAAGAAAAGGGTCTTCTTGAAAGGGCTAAGAGAAAGCGACAAACTGCATTTGTTCAGCAGCCACCGGGTGCCAGGCACGATTTGTTATGGCATTTACTTCTCACAACGATTTCACGGGATGAGAATTGTTTTCCTCATTTACCCGATAGAGAAACTGAGTCACTAGGTAGTTTAGCAATTTGCCGAAGGTCTTACAACTGAAAGCAGCCGATCACCACAGATCACTGGGCCCCAAATCTGGTCACTTCCTGTCTGCTGTACTTCTATTGTATAATTCGGTGTTGTGCAGCTGCTGTGAACGTCCTGGCAGCCATGCATCCCCGGGAATATGAAGAATTTCTGAGGAGGGAATCTCATTTTCTATGAGAAGGGCAGGGAAGGGGTTGGACTAATCGCATCTAGTTGCTATGGGGCAGGGAACCACCATTTTAGAGTTGGGTTCTGTTCTAAGTGAAACTTCCTAGATGGAAATGGGTTCCTCCTCACGCTGCAGATTCTGAATGTGTCAAAAGCTCCTGTGTTGAGCACTGTATTGAGGACTGAGAGAGCATCCTTCCATAACTTTCCAATGCCCTTAGGCCATGGTAAGGATGCGGGTCTCTTAGCCCTACCACCTACTGTAATAGCCTTATCTCAGCCACTCCTCTTTTATTTTTTTTTAATTCCAGCCACACGTACATTCTTCTGTTCACTCTTAAATTTGTACTCTCTCCTGTCACAGGACCTTTGCACATGACCTTTCCTCCTGACCGCTTCATCTGAACAACTCCTGCTCTCCCTTCAGACTTCAGATGAAACACTTCTTCCTCAAGGAACATGTCCCGATCTCCCCAGCCAGGTGCTGAGCCTCCTGTTAGGCACACTCATCACACAACATACCACTCCTTTGAAATACCCGTCACATTTCTGACTGAACTACTCTCCCTATGATTACTTATGGCCACTGCCCTCTCTAGATCTGCAATGTCCAGTATAGTAACCACTGGTCACAGATGGCTATTGAGCAGCTGAAATGTGGCTCATATAACGGAGAAATTGAATTTTAAGTTTTATTTCATTTTAATTAGTTTAAATTTAAAAGCTAGTGTTTGATTTACCCAATGGAAATTTTAAAAGCTTGGAACAACCTGAGTATGTGAATCTACTTTTCAATTGTATATTTTATGAACTCTAAATACAGATCAACTATTTCCAGAAATTTAGCATCTTAATTGAGATGTGCTATATGTGTGAAAACCACACTAAATTTTGAAGACTCAGTATGGAAAAATAATGTACAATATCTTATTAATAACTGTATATTGAGTATATGCTGAAATGATAATCATTTAGAGATAATGGAAACAAAATATATTAACAATAGTTTATTAAATTAATAGGTTTATGAAATTAACAGGTTAATTTCTCCTGTTTCTTTTTACTTTCTAATGGATGCCTAGAAAACCTAAATTATATATGCAGCTCACATTATATATTTATTGGACTGTGCTGCTCTAGACTGACAGGTTAATTTCTCCTGTTTCTTTTTACTTTCTAATGTGAAGCCTAGAAAACCTAAATTATATATGCAGCTCACATTACATATTTATTGGACTGTGCTGACTATAAGGAAGGTCCTTGAAACTGGAACCAGGTATCTATTTAACTATTTTATGTTCAGTACCTCAGTATTTAGCATAGTATCTGGCTAATAATAGGTGTTGAATTAATATTTGATTGACAATTGAATAAATGAATAATTATCCAATACCTGTCAAGGTTAAGAAGAGAGGATGGCACATTTGCCCTATGTTTTCTAACTCTGTGCTTCTTTGTCTTTGCCTAGCATACAGCCTTGAAAGTAATGATAATAATAACTACAACTATCCTTCTTAGTTACTTACTATGTGCAAAGCACCTTTAATCGATCTCAGATATGTTGTAAAAATTAGAGATAATGTTTGTGGAGCAACGTGTGCAAAGCCATTATTAATAGACATCATTTACTATATGCTTGCTTATGAATGAGTAAACAAACTTACAAAGGCCAGCAAAAGTCAGGAGAAAATATTTCTAGGCCTCTGTTGCCTTGAACATGAATATGAATCCAGTTTTATCAAAACTGCTTGCCCCAGCTTAGAAAGGCATGTAGGGATTTTTAAGTATAAAATCTTGGAATAGAAACAAGAAAAATATTCTATTGACAAGAAAGTAGGTTGCTCAGGTTACACCATTAAATTAGATTTAAAACGCTGAAGACACACTTGCCTTCGGGAGCTTGAGATATGGTCCAGGCCACACTCCCGCTCATCGGTGATTTAGCCAAATAGCCTCCAAAAGGACCACAAAGCCAGATTAATTAGAAATAGATCAAGCTCTATGTTCTTGGGCTGTACAACCTTCCAGGCCAATTTTCCAAGCTTCCAAGCTCAAGGAAATACACTGTGTATTTGGCCACATGCTTTGCTCTCAACTTAAAAACCCATATGTATATTTTAATGTCAATTTAATCCATATGGTTCAGATTATTTGCATTAGATTCATCAGAAGCAATTTTTGAAAGAACCTACAATTTAATAACTTCCTCCGTGTGCTGCGCTAGACTTGAACTCCTCCCTGGGTTCCTCCAACAGACTGTGCTGGATGGAATTTGTATTAAATAAAGGCAACATGAAGATAGGGAGCTGGGACCCTGAAGCCCAACCGCCGAGGGTCAAATCCCTACCTCACTAGTTCAGATGTGTTTGACTTCAGGTTGACTTTCCTTGTCTATAAAATGGGTCAACAATACATCTCCTGAGGTTATTGTAAAGGTTCACCAAGTCTATGTAAAGCAATTATAGAAGCCTCACTGTGTGCCTGGCACTATTTTAACCATTAGCTATTATTGTGGCTACATTTATGCTGCAAGTGACAGACAAATACTTTGGAATGGCTTGTACAGGTTAGTTTTTTTTTTTTATCTTTCACATAAACAGACAGTCCAGGTCTGGCATGTGATCCCACCTCACCAAAACCTGATTCTCCCTACCTGCTGCTCCACCTGTCGGCACACAGTTCTCCCTTCCGATCCAAGAGGGCAACCCCAGCCAGGGCTGTCCACATTCCGGCCAGAAGGAGGGAGGGAAGAGGAGAAAACCACACATCCTCCCTTGAAGAACACTCGCTAGAGGTTGTGCACACCACTTCTGCTTACGTCCCATCGTGTGTAGTCTTAAAGGAGACTAAGAAATGTAACTTTTTAATTCTGTTATTATTTGGTCTATTATTATTACTGTAAAAAATGGAAGAACAGATATTAGGGACAATTGGTGGTCTCTGTCACTGAGTCTTGGGGGGAGACCAAAAGCGCCACCTGGACCCAGGATACATTCCACATGGAGATCTTCGGATAAGGGAATGTGGTTTGAGGAAACTACATCTTTAACACAGTACTCAGCCGTCTTCGCATTCTGTTGGCTTATAAATCTCATAAATATATGCTGAATAAAACACTAAATAAATGTTTATTCTAATTACTGTACAAAAGTGACCGCAAACCTCTTCTCTCTACTCTCACCAGAATTCTATCCGTGGAAGGTTTCGGATGCTTGTGGATTTAGAAAGAAAAGGAAGAGCTGGCAACGTAGAATCCTGCTTCAGTTTGTTTGCTTAAAAAAGGCTCCTCCAACACCCAAACGCAGTCCCATTCCAAAGCCCCGCTCCAGCCCTTTCGCCTGCATCCTGGCTGAGAAGTGATGACACCGCAGCAGGCTTGGGGTGCTGCTCCAGAAACTGACCGCGCCCCACCCCGTCTGAGCCTCCACAAATAAAAGATGTTGACAAGACAGACTCAGATAATAGGAAACATATTTTTGGCTGGTGAATTCGCTTTTTGGTCAGACTTGAAGACTGTAGCAGATACTCTGGGAGCCTCCCCAGCATCCTACCCCACTCTCTCCTCTGAACAGAACTGTATTTCCCAGCCTTGTGGTTCAGTTCGGGATTGGCTTAAGTCAATCAACGGATCCAACACCGTGTCCACAATAATTATCTCAGAGTTGGGCATGTGATCGGATAAGATGTGCAGGAAGATGCGGGGACCGTGGAGAAAGAACCTTCAGTTGATGCTGACTGTTCTCTTGGGATCGCAAAAAAATATTCATCGGATTAACAGCCTATATTACATAGAAACTAGAGTGGCAAGGTGAAAAAAAAAAAACCGGTGCAGAATGGCATTGTTGAGTCAGTGGATTGAACCTTACCTAAAGCCCTTCACACCTTTGGACTTGAAATTCACAAGCCAGTAAATTCTCCCTGTGGCTTAGGCCTCCTGAGTTGGGGTTTCTGTTAAGTCGTATTCTGAAGGACACTGTCATTCAATGAAACCTGGAAATATTTAACACGAGACAAATGAACCAGGAAGCCAAAACCAAACATCTCTCATATCCGCCATACCAGCATTGAAACGCTGCCCTACCAATTTATCACGTGGGTGAGCACAGGCAAGATGTCTGAAGAAAGCATGAGACTCAGTTTCTAAGTCAGGAAATTGGGGTTAGCTATAGGGATAACTATATTGATCTCACAGGACTGTTGTGTGCGTAATGCCATCCAACACAAATGAAATTGCCCAGAACCAAGCCTATTTCCCCGACAGAGAAATCGATAAAGACACAATAAAGTCACAGACAAAGGGAGAAGTAAGACTTATGTTTACTGAGAACTAAGTTGTGTATGAAGAGTGGGTATGATGAATGTCCACGCAGGCAAGGAGGAAGACGGACAGACCCTGATGGACAGCCGTGAACCCAGACTTCACAAGACATCACAAAGATGATAGAGATCCCAGACATTCCCCAAGTAAAATTTACATATAGTTAAAAGAAAATTTCTTATGATATACCTCTGTCGGTTTTGACAAATGCATAGAGTTGTGTAACCACCATCACACTCAAGGTATGGACAGTTCCATCATCCCCAAGTTTCCTCACGCTCCTTTGAAATTATCCCCGAATCCTACCCCCAAAAGAGCAACAAACCACTGACCTGTTTTCTGTCCCTGCAGTTTAACCTTTTCCAGAATGTCATATAAGTGGAATCATGTATTAGGTTGCCTTTGAGTCTGCTTCTTTCCCTTAGTATAGCACATTTAAAATTCATCTATGCTGGGGGATAAATCATACTTTGTTTTTGTTGCTACCCATGAACATTTCCTTAAAGCCTACCTTCTTCTTCGCTGTATACTCCACATAGGATGATGGCTGTGGGCACAGACTAGTTTCCAGTTATCATTTTCATGCCTCCAAATTTGTATATATATTTGGAACTGTTGGAGGAAAACAAGCATGTTAGAAGAAGAGGAAGAGAGACCCAAGATCTTAAGATATCTCTTTCTCTCTCTCTCTTTCTCTCTACCCGCCCCCCTCTGCCTTCCTCTCTCTACCATGTGAGAACACAGTGAGAAGGTGGCCATCTGCAAGCCAGGAAGAAAGCTCTCTCCAGAAACCAACCCTGCCAGACCTTGATCTGGGCCTTCTGGTCTCCAGCCTCTGTGAGAAGACAAGTTTCTGTTGTTTAAGCCACCCAGACTGTGGTTCTGTATCATGGGAGGTATCCAGCAGACTAATACAGAATGACTTGGAGTTGGTAATTAGTGAGGTAAGTTTGGTTCTAAACATCTGTTTCTGTGTGTGTGTGTGTGTGTGTGTGTGTGTGTGTGTGTGTGTTTCTTGAGGATGAAGATAATCTTCCATGCAGGCTCACTATGAAGACTGAACTACATGGATAATATATGCAAATGGTTTATCACTTTGACACCTGGAAATGCTCAATATATGGCACTTCTTATTGGCCAGCTTGATCCATCCCTGCATCTAATGTCCCTAACATATAGGATACTCAGGAAATATTTGCAAAAAAATAACTGAAATGTAATTGGACATGCTAAGGGACAGCTATGCATTTTAATTTTTAAGTTGTATAATGAAGTAGTTGATGCAAACGGATGTTTCTGACATCTGACACCATTATTTTCTGTTGACCACAGCCTAAACAGGAAAGAATCCTATAGTAGTCATTTTCATTTTAGTATAAGCTGATTTCATTTAGTATAAGCTCCTTGTAGCATAAAGTCTCTACAATAAGATGGAAAATATTGGTGGTGGGGGCGGGGTGGTGGAGGAATGGGAAGTATAGACAATGAGGTGCTTTCTTTTGCAACTAAAGTCATAACTGGTTCTTCTCAAGGCTCTAATGGAAACCAAAGGTAACGAGGTATGAAAAGAGTGTCCTGCCTCTTGGACTTCACAGCTCCCTTGGGGAACGGGGTGGGGGAATAGTGAGTGTGTTGGCTATCCTTTGATAGCCACGATGGTGTGCTGGGGACAGCTCATTCCAGCCCTTGAGAGCCAACTGTGGACTTTTCTTCCCAAGGTCACGTTCAGTGATACCATGTTGGTAGCTTGAAATTGGCCATGGTGGGAGTGTTTACACCACAGAAATTGGCAAATGCTATAAAGCAGGGCTTCCCTCACCCTCTGGAGAGCCAGTTGTTACACATTTACCAGCACACCACTGAGTCCTTGGCCCAAGCTTACCACTGCTTCCCAGGGGAGGCACAGGGAGAAACTGGACTGCCATTCAGAAATCTCTGAGAAGGTTAAAAAATGGAAAGCAGGGGTTTAGGATGAATGGACCAAGAAAATGATTCAAGAAAGTTAAGGAAGCCAAGAATTTGGAGTTTGGATACAAGACCTTTTCTTATCTTTCACCATTTTGGAAATGCAGTGGCCATTTGTGACCCGGTTCTGAGAATTAAACCATGTGTGGTATTGAGGAAATTATCCTCACAGATGCTGACTGTACCTTTTACCCTACCGACTTCTCTGCTAAAACAATTACTCCCAATAAAAGTATTAAGAATGTGTGCAAAAATTTAGTCTTCAGGAGGTACCCCACAGCATTCATTATCATGCAGTATATTTTGGAACTACCTAATGTCCCACAACGGAAATTCTGTTTAACTTTATTATAGTGGGTCCATGTAAGTGGATACTCTTCAGCCTTTAAATATTCTTCTAACATTTGATTTTTAGTGTTATGGGAGAAGAGATGCAATAAAAAGTGAGAGAGCAAGTTATAAAGCAGAATAATTTCAATGATGACAGTTTTATAAAATACTGGGGGCCCAGAGCACGAATTCATGCACCTTGAAAGGAACTGTGGACCGTGAGGCTGTGGTGAACACAGGGGCAGATCTTGGCCCAACCTCTGCACCCCCGCTTGGTCCCTCCCGCCACGGACCCAGGTCCCCTCACTGCCAGCAATCCCGCTCCCGCCACCACCGCTCTCACACATTGATGATGCCGGCCCTGCCCTGCTCACACCCACAGATGACACGCAGCAGTTGGGGCCGGCGCCCGCAGCATGTGCGAGTGGGCCCGGGCTGGCAGCAGGTGCGAGTGACACGCAGCAGTTGGGGCCGGCGCCCGCAGCATGTGTGAGTGGGGCCGGGGCTGGCAGCAGGTGCGAGCGTCAGGTGGGATTGTGGCGCGCGGGAGCAAAGAATTTTCAGCAACCACCAGAGGCTCACCCCAATGACAGTGACTGGTGCTCTACCTTGGTCTGGCACCCCGGCTCACCTGCTCCACCATCCCACCATGGCCAATGCCTGCCATGTTCCGTGCTCTGCTGCCTGCTGCCAACGCCCACCATGTTCTGCATGCGCCTCCTAGTGGTCAGCGCACATCATAGCAACCAGTTGTTTGGTTGTTTTGCCATTCGGTCTATTTGCATATTAGGGTAATATATATATATAATTTCTATGTGTTCCAGCTTGCTTTCTGGGGATTTTTCATTTTCTTTCTGAGCTTTTTCTTCTCTCTCTCTCTCTCTCTCTCTCTCTCTCTCTCTCTCTCTTTCTCTCTCTCTCCCCCCCCCCCCTTTCTCTCTAAAATCAATCAATAAAGGTTATAGAGTAGTAGAGTAGTTAACTTTGAGTGAAGGAGTTAATTGTAACTTTTCTATTTTACATTACTTTTTGAAATAAGAAAAAAAGAAATACTATTTTTTAAAGTCATTTCTCCACCTAGATAATCTGATAAGTTAAAACAAAAAAAATTGTTTATCTGTATAAAAGTAAGGCTACTTTAATTAATGAGATTTAATAACCATTATGCCTAATAGGCAACATAGCAAAAATTATGAAATCGTTTATTGTACCTGAAACAACTATTACTATTCTTTCCCTCCCTTCCTTTACCATCTTCCTCCTCCTTCTCCTCTTTCTCCTTCTGATAATAATAACATTGACTAAGCATTTTCCATGTATCAGCTCTGGTGCCAGGTAAATGAGACACATTAACTCATCTATTCTTAAAAACAAACAAACCACAAACGTATGAAATAGTTACTATTTCCCATGTAAATACCATCGTACATCTCCATGTAACAGATGCAAAAACAGAAGCAGTAAATAACTTGTCCAAATCCTCATAGCCAATAAGTGCCAGACCCAATATCAAACCTTCGTAATAGAATCACGCATTTGATGCTGAAACAAATAATGAAATTAATGTTTGTCACTCATATAGTCAAACCTTTTGAAAAAATGGTAGGCTCAACACTGAAAATGTTAAGACAGATTCACAGTTTTAGTCCCATGAATTCCTTGGCTGTGGTAATAAACAGAGTCTGGGAGACTAAAGAATTGCAATGCAATGACCCACACTGGGGTGCTTACTCCAAACACGAAGGAACTTTTCACCTATAAACTCCCAACGTGACTGAGAGGCAGTCAGTAGAGTTTCACTTGGTCAGGCAATCCCTAATCACTGAGCGCCTCCCGAATCCAGGGCCCTGTGCGTAGGTTCTGGGGACACAGCAGCAGCAAACAAGGTGAGCACAGGCTCTGCCCCCGTGGAGTATGCAGACTTACAAGAAAGAGCGAGGCATTCAGTCAGCAAGATGCTGCCAGGATGGAGATGCACGGGGTTCCCTGCGAAGCTGCCACGCTCCCTTTGACATGATGGGCACACTCATAGCTACATTCAGTCACAGCTTAATTTTATCCTTTTTTTTTTAGAAAGATGACGGCTTTAGCAACAATTTTTTTCTCCTTCTTTATCTTTACATCTGCTCTTCCATACCTTTGTGAACTGATTCTAAGTGTTCATACACTAACAAACTAGAAAAGACCAGGACTACAGCCAAACACCTCTGAGCACTAGTCCGGAGTGTGAGACCTGGCAAGACTAGTGGTGAGGTGGCTGCAGTAGTGGCATTTCCAAGATTCCTCTTGAAGGAAATATTAACCCTCCCACTGCTCGGCCCCTGCTCCTTTAATAAAAGCACTTTGCTTCCTACCCAGTAGTAGATTTCCAGGAACCGCCCTGACACACAGACACACCCCAAGGTACCCACGGATTGCCTTTTCTCCTTAGAGAGGGAATTGTTCAGTGAGATGTCTGGGGGACTTCCGCTCTTCCCTTCGAGATAATATGAGTGTTACCCAGCAGAGGGCAGGATTGCACAAAGCACCCTAGCTCCTCTCCTGTTAGAATAAACTAAGGAGAGAAGTTGTCATGGATAGATTTCCAGCATCAGGGCAGATCATAGCACAGAACAAATGATTGGCTGGGTGCTTAGAGAAGACAGCACGAGAAACATTCTGGGCTGGGAGTCAATGTGTGTGGGTCCCAGTGTCGATCGGGGAGTCACTTCACTGATGGGTCTCTTTTGTGCCAGTCTCAGCCTATGGATAACCAGTGCTATGGCTGGGCCAGCCCTTGTAGTTCTTATTATGACCGCAAGACACCTTCAGCCATAACTATCAGGAAACTATGGGAAAAATGAAGAGTTTCTTACTTACAAGTCCTGAAAAGTACATGGCACACCTAGGACCACACTGCGAGGTTGCAAGTAGAAAGAGAGAGAGCGGCCTGGGATTCTGCTTTTACTGGGGTTGAGGGCGGAGCCTAGGCTATCTCCAGGTGAATTTAAAACATAAGAGTGGGAATTGAAAGCCCAGCAAGAGAGAAAACAAGCGGCCCAAATGGTCAGTTACTAAAATCAAACGAGATCTCTAAATCACAGGAGGGGTGGGGCTGTGTTTTTTTTAACCTAGTCTTGAATGCCTCATAATCAAAGCTTGTCAGGCACCTGCATTTTAACAACAAAAGCCAACAGTGGGAGCTCACACTACAGGGTCTCAATTTCCCCAGCTGTACGGTACAGGCATTCTCTTGGATTACCTACCCTGCAGTTACTCTCTTGAAGTTGTCATCTTTTAACGTGCAAATGGAGCTTGTGATCTGGGAGTGGGAGTAA